ATTTCCGGGCAAAACAAAATGGCGACCCGCGTATTTCGGCTCGATTCGAAAAGTTAAATAGCCGTAGCATCTTTGTAGACAACCAAATTTATAAATTACTTTTGTGTTTTAACATCATTTTTTAACTTTGTTTTGGTCAATTTGATCGTCCACACCGATAGACAGTATTCAGAAAGAGACACAGAGAGAGAGAAGAGGGGAGGAGTTGATCTTGCGAGAACTTCCGGGCGGGTGAGAATAGCCACTTTCTTTCTGGGCAGTTGCATTTCTCGCTGTGGCGAGTTCCTGATGTTGACCCTGTTTCTTCTCAGTGTTCTTCCCGTTGGTGTTTCTACTATTATATATAGGATCTTGGTTCCTGACACTTCTCCTTGATTACTGCTTCTTTCCACTTACTTGAAGGTTGATCTTGGAATCTGACATGCTGGCCTGGAGTCAGTGGTGGTAGGTCTTTGGCCTTGGTGTCATGGTAGGATTTCTGAGTGTCCTGACGGTGTTGTAGTTGTTCACGAAGATGATCATCGGTTGGATTTCCGGTGTGTCTAGTGGGGAGATTTCCACGAGGTTTTCTTCCAGTGATCAGCTCTGAGGGACTTGGAATTTTGGAGGAGATTGGGATTCTGTGAAGGCATAAGAGGGTAAGGTCAGGGTCATTACCGTCCTGCTTTGCCTTGATGAGAGCTTATATTTTACTGTCTGCACCTGTCTTTCGATGAAACCATTTGACTTGGGGTAGACGGGGGAAGAAGTGACGTGATCAAAACACCAGTCCTTGGCAAATTTTTTTAATGGTTTTGCCGAAAACTGGGGACCGTTTTTGGGAGTTTCCTGTAGACGAAAAACTTGCTGAAATAATCAGCGACGAGGATATGTTGGGTGTTGTCTAATGAAAAGAAATCTACACCCAAGATTTCCCACGGCTGTGTCGGAATCTCATAGGGGTTGAGTGTTTCCGGCATTTGGTTCTTTTGGTGCTCCTGGCAGATGGGGCACTGAGATGTCAGCTTCTCGATGTCCCTTGAAATGCCCTGCCAGTACACAGAGGCTTGTGCCCTTAATCTGGTCTTCTCCACCCCTTGGTGTGCTGTGTGCAGTTGTCTCATTGTCTCTTGTTGGAGGCTCCGCGGGATGACCACATGATCACCTTTGAGTATGATCCCATCCTCCACAGAAAGTTAGTCTCGGAACGACCAAAAACTGCGAATAGCTTCGGGGACCTCTTGTATGGTGTCTGGCCATCTGTTGACGATCGTTGGGATGAGTTTGCTCAGAGAAGGGTCACATTTGGTTTCTTCTTGGAGTGATTTGATTCTGTCCGTGCTGAATCTGACTTGGCCAACGGTGAAGTCGAGGTCGATGGTCTTGTCATTGCCGGGGCTTGGCAGTCTGGACAGTGTGTCTGCTACTGTCATGTCCTTGCCAGGCTTGTATTCAGTGGTGAAGTCATATTGTTGTAGTCTGAGGAGCATTCGCTGCAGCCTGGGAGCTGCTCTCACGAGGGGTTTGTCGAAGATCATGACGAGCGGTTTGTCATCTGTTCTGACGAGAAATTTCTGACCGTAGAGGTAGGTGTGAAACCGTTCTACTCCGTAGACGATGGCCAGGAGTTCTCGCTCAATGCAGGCGTATCGTGTTTTGGCGTCCGTCAGAGTCTTGGACACAGATGCATCAGGCTTGTCATGCTGAAGGAGTGTCACGCCTAGACCTTTGATGCTAGCGTCTGTCTCCAGTGTTGGTGTTGTACCTGTGTCGAAGTAGATCAGAGTGGCATTCTCTGAAACTGCATCCTTCAGAGCGTGGAAGCATTTCTGATGGTGAAGAACGAGTCCTTCTTCAGGAGTTCTTTGAGTGGAGCTGCTTTTTCGGCCAGGTTGTTGATGAATGGCGACATGTAGGTCACGAATCCAAGGAATTCCTGCAGTTCTTTCTTGGACGTTGGCGCTGGCATGGCTTTCAGGTCGTTGACCTTGTCAGGATCAGGATGCACGCCTTCAGGAGTGTACGTGGCGCTGAAGAATGTGATGAACTGAGTCTTTATGGTGCACTTCTCTGAGTTGAAGACCAATCCATTCTCTGCTGCGGCTTTCATCAGGTTGCGCAGGCTTTCGTCGTGTTCTTCTTCTGTCTTTCCGTAGACCACAACGTCGTCCGAGATGCCGGTGGCTCCTTTCACGCTTTCAAGGATCTGGTCCATTTTCAGCTGGAAAATGTCCTGAGAGACCTTGAGACTGAATGGTAGTCTGGTGAAGCAGTATCGGCCATATTATATGGAGTCTGGAACGTCGTCAAGAGCTGGCTTTCTTCGTCGAGCTGAACTGACCAGTAGCCACTCTTGGCGTCCAATTTGGAGAAGTAGCGACTTCCACAGAACTGATGTGTCAGCTCTTCAATAGTCGGAATTTTGTGGTGTGACCTTTTCAGTGCGAGATTCAGGTGACGTGCAGATTCGAAGCTTCCCTGACTTCTTCTTGGAGTAGGCAAGGCTTGATACCCAATCCGTAGGCACTGTTATCTTTCTGATTACACCACTTCCCACCATGCTGTCAAGCTCTTCCTTGATCACGTCTCTGAGAGCAATCAGAGTTTTCCTTGGTGCGTCGATGTGTGGCGGTACGTCTGGATCCACCACCAGCCTGACGGGGCCAGGCATCTTACCGATTCTGTCAAACTGTTCTAGGTGGTCTTTCATCAGGTCCTGGACGCAAATGATCTTGTCCTTGGTAGATGGGGGTGACGTTGAAATGCTGCAGTGCAGTGTCACTGCTTTCATTTTTTCGCATGAAGGCAGTCCAATGATGGCTGGTCCTTCTATGTCTACGACATAGAATCCTGTTTCCTGCCACTCTCCTCTGTAGCGACAAGGAAAAGCTGTCTTGCCAAGGCAAGGAATGTCTGTGCCGTTGTAGGCAGTCAGCCTTGTGCTGCCTTTCTCTCTTAAGATCTGTTATGCCGGGATCCCTTCCGTTGTCAGCTGCTCAGGGAACATGTCCCTAAACATGCGCAGGGGCAGTGTGTTCCCCTGTGCGCCTGTGTCGACCTTGACAATGATGTTGTGTTGCCCAGCTCTGTTTGGAAGTAGTATTTTGAGCTTGACGAATGCTTCATCGCGTTGCTGGGGTAGTGAAGAAACTGAAGAGATGGTGACCGGGCTGAATGTTAGGTCGTCAAAGTTCTCTTCGTCGATTTCAGCCTGCATCGCCTTGATTTTTGCCTCTAGCGGCTTCCGCTGATGTCCTCCACCTCGGCTGCCTAATCCGCCACGTTGTTGCCAGCGTCCGCTTGAAGGTAGATCTATGCGTGAAGACTGGTGCGGCTCAGAACGGCAAACTTTGGCAAAGTGGTTAGTTTTGCCGCAAGTATGGCAGGTAATACCATGGGCTGGGCATTCCCGTGGTTTGTGCTGCCCGCCGCAGTGTCTACAGGGAGGAAGAGTGCTGGACTTGATGGCACTGATGCTGGTAGAGTCTGCCATTGTTTGTAGCTACTGTACGCTGTCTTTCGGATGAAACATCGATACTGAGTATTTAAGTCTGTATCGATATTCCAGTACTTTTGGGGCCAAAACCAGAGAATGCCCAGTAGTGAAGTACAGTGGAACTCGGATTCAACGAGGTCGCCGGGACTGACCTAAAATATAGTTGAATCCGAGTGTTCGTTATAGCAAACACGAGGTTTTGTGTAGATAATTACAGGCACTGAGCAAGTAATGTATAAAAAGAGAAGTCACAAGTAGTGCCTGAAATGCTGCATATTATGAGCTGTGAAAAAAAAAAGTCTGATTCGTTCAAATGCACACGCCTATGTCGTCTCGATTGTTTACCAAAAAGTTGTGTTGCTGTGTAGATCCCAGCATAACCGCAACTTTTGATTTCATAGACAAGCACACAATTCACTACGAAGATGTACGTCAAGACTAGCTTATCATTGTAATAAATGAGGGGGAAAAAAGACAGTGACGCGTTAGTATCTGCGACATTCAACGCCCGGATGGCTAGTCCCCCACCCTTCCCCAACACGCACACACAGCCACACGTGTGCAGGCCGCCCATCCGACCCCGACACACACGCCAGAGTAGACTCGTGCGCGAGCCAACAACGCATGTGTTGGTATGAAAAAAGGCCGCTGATTGGTCGCATGCAATCGGCTAAGTGAATAATGGTCCACGATGCAGTTGCAAAGGATGGTTTCCGGGAATGGATAAAGTTCGTTCTGGGGGGAAAATGAGCGAAGCCACGTCTGCGGGGGCTGTTCACCCTGGAAGCGACCTCGTTGAATCGGAGCATGCTGATTTAAGTGCTCCTTAAATCTGGGTTATTTTTATTGATTTTAAAGAAGAAAAAAAACGGGGAATCTATCTCAACTCGTTGAATCCGAGCTCGTTAAATCCGAGTTCCACTGTAGTAGTCTCCGCCTAAATGTTCGCCATACAATGTAGCAAAGGCACACGACTCTGCTTAAATGCACACGTTCGTCATTTGAATGAGGTTTTACTATACAGTCAAACCTGTGTAAGACGGAATCACAAGGGAAGCAGAAAAAATACAACCCTGGGGTACAAAATGACCCCGAGGCGTACGGATAGGGTTAAATCTATAAGGAGAAAAAAATGGGAAGGAAAAATATGTTTTGATGAAAACTCCTACTACTAAATTTAAGTACTTTCGTAAGAGGTGTAATCAGATTTTTTGGGGAAAAAACCTTCAAACTAGTCAGCATGAAACGACATGTATTACTCATCTGTGAGAATAAAAATAAAAAGAATTCTTATTCAATCAACGAGAATCTTATGAATGAATTGGAAGTGGCATTGGCCCCCAAGAGCAACACAAATATTTGCATAGAGGCAGATTGAGATACTTCTGCAACTTTCTGGGAGAATAAAATTCTTTGCAGTTGTAATTGTATCAGTATTTGTTTATTATAACACACCGCTGTGTTTCATCATTTGCACCCTCCCTCAATCCATCCTCTACTCAAAATATTTTGAATTTACCATCAGGTGGAGCACACAGTGCAGGGATACGTCTATGAGGCCATCTGTGAAAACTTAAGGTCCTCAAGATGGCACAAGGAGATGCCGTCATGAAACCAACAGGTATAAGATGTAGTCTTATCATTATCCGTCATGTGACCTCTTAGTCTCACTTGAGTATGCATCAATCATGTGAGGAGGCCGAGGGCTCTGTGGGTTGATAGTATAGTGCATGATTTTAAATTCTGTCCTGTCTCTCTGCCTTTTTACTGTGTGTTGTCTTGCTTTTCTTTTCTCTTTTTTTCCCTTTTTTAAAAAGCAGTTTTTATTTGTGAATTCTTAACTCCCAATTGCATTACTGTTATTTTTATGTGGTTTTACCTTTCCACATAAAAGTGGAAGGTGAAATGGGAAGACATCCCAATTTTGTCTTAGTTTTATATAAATGTAGGTATATGGCCAGTTTCAATTTCAAGCATCAGTGTGATATGAAACACAAAAAGACCTCTGTTGTCTCATCTCAAGATGAGATTTGATAACGGTATTGTATGGCAAAGAATTTTATCAATTTCTGTCTTTTGGAGAAAAAACGGTCAACAAAGGCTGCATGAAAGAGGACTTGATGTAAGAGGAACCATTTAATTGAAAGGGTAACTTATTAAAAATTTATCCATTAGGTACAGTCGTGAAAAATATTGTTAAAAAAAGGATATAATATTTCACTTGCTAACGAATTGTGTTTTTTTGGTATTTTTTAGTAGTCACAGAGGAAGTGAGTTTGAGTGAAATTCAAGTAAAGCTGCTTGTGGATGGCGTCATTCCTCCCCTATTTGGCAGCAAAAAAAAGCCCAAAAATGGTGACTTGGCTGTGACTTTCTTCAAAAGGTACGTGATATAACAAAATCAGGGTGGGTGGCTGGCGGGTGCTCTGATGTGGTTTGCTCCTTCTTTCCTATCAAACTTCAATCGCCCTTATATCTCCTCCTTTTTTTTTGTGTTTGTTACTCACTTGTAACAACTTTAATCTTCGGCACTTTTATGACCTTATTGTGTTGCAAGTGCTGTAAAAACTCTTACTAAAATAAAAAACAAAATCGGATACAAGTGTCCCTTCTCAAGTCTCAAATGTTGTTGTGTGGAAGACCTTTGACTTTGATGACACGTTGTTTGCTCGACATTCTGCTCGTATAAAAGGCATGATTTCTAAAATCATACGAGATCAAGCAACACCTATTCATCAACAACATCAGTTTTGAATCTCACTAAAGTTAAGCCCTAGACTTACTTCCATAATAGGATAGGACTTTCTAGATATGTCGATATTTGGACTTACAGAACCGCACTTTAAACCTTTTAATATTTTCACCCCCAACCCTACCCCTATACACCATGAAATGGAAGTGACTGAACTGTGCTTTCTTACCCGTGCGGACAACCCTACTCCCAGATATTTAGGATGCCTAATATGTAGATGTCCATGAAAGAAAATGTGGATTGTTAGTTGGTGCCCTAATGGGATTTGCTTCTGTTTTTCTATCAAACATTTATCGTCTTGATCTTTCCTCCTTCTTATCTTTGTATGTTACTGTCGAGTAACACCTCTAATCTTCGGCTCATATCTGATCTATTTGTATTGTAAGTGCTGTAGTAAATCTCTTATTAAAACGAAAGCTAAATGAAAGAAGATGTCTGGTAGTGGTAGATATATATATGTATGTGGAAGGCAGTCAGTCACATGTTGGTGGTTGGATTATTATGTTATTATGTGTATCGCTGCATGTCTGCTTAGTTGCTAATGTTGGTGGTTCGATGTTACTGTGATGAATAGTCTAGAATACTTTCCCTTCCAGTCTTACTTAATAGTTCAGGGTTTAACCTAGACTTGACCAAGACAGCTGCCTCTCAAGGGGACTGGATGGAAACAAATTATGTATTCTTTTGGCAGTTGATTAAGTTAAGCACTGAAAAAGACAATGGAGAGAATGGCTCCAAGTTTTTGGCCATTTAAGTCATAAGTAGTCAACAGATATAAATCCAAGGTGTTTTATGTTCTGCATATGGGTGCCAAAATGTAATGAATAAGAATATATACAAAACGCCACTTATTCTTGCTCCCCCCCCCCTCCCTTTATTAAAATGTCCTGTCATAGTCATGTCTCAGTAAATAGTATTTTAAAAAATCATGGAGTCCACCTTCATTATCTTGATTTCAACAAACCATGTTAAGGACATTCTTGAGGCAACATGTCAAGGTATGGTCATTTTGCTTTTGCTCCACATGAACAAAACCTTTTGACGCTCAGTAGGACTATGGACTAAGAGAGTACTTCTCTTCCTGAACAAGAAAATTCCAGCTCCACTTGGATTAAATATACTCTTTAACATTTTTAACTTCACACTTTTTAAGAGCATGTAGCTCAAAAACTATACATTCAATTTCTTTGAAATTTTTACCCATGTCACGCAAGCTCATTGTCGTTCGTGAACTGTACTCATTAAGGTGCACTTGTCTATCGTTTTGTCTGATGATGTCATTCACATGGTTTTGATATTTTGTCAAATACTGTGAAAATGTGTGGGTAACTTTGAAAACAAAAACTACACACGCAAAGTTGGACTCCTTCCAAATCTTTTGCCACATAAAAAAATGGCTTCTCTTTATCGATTCACCATGCTTCGGCTGAATGAGTCAGAGATAAATCACATCATTAAAATGCTTCAGGTGGGGACTCCGCTTTCGCGAGAAAGTTCAATGTGAACAGACACACTGTGTATGTCACACTGGATCTCACAGCAACGATAGGCTCCCAAAAGGACAGACCCAAGCGAATTGGACGCAGAAAGACAAAATGGAGGATGGACGCATTCATCCTAACGCAACGCTTGAGAAATCAATTTCAACCGGCAAACAAAGACGCAGGATGAGTCTAAAAGACTTACAAATGACAGTCCAATCTTTGTCATTATTGTTCTTTTTCGTTTGAAAGAGCAGAAAATCCATGCTAGGAGCCTAGTTGTCGCATAAAACTGCAGCCCCATCACATCCAGCACAGATTTCACTGGGCACAACGTCGCGTGTGATGGCCAAGGCTAAATCAATCAAGTTCTGAAGCCCAATGTACTTTTCTTTCAAAATCAAGCCCAATGACAAGTATTCAAGCATGATAATGCACCTGCTCAAAAGGCTGCTGTGACAAATCAATTTCTCAAAACTAAAAACATTCCTTTCCTGTGCCCGTGACAGCGCTTTCACCAAATTTCAATCCATTTGAGCACTTGCAGGACATTTTAGATCGTGCCATTCGTGCCAGACCACGTCAACCCGGTACCCTTGCTCAGTTAGAACAAGCCTTAAATCAAGACTGGAATATTATCCCTCAATAGATAATACTTTGATTCATCCCGTCCATGCGTCGACAATGTGAAGATGTGACAACGTCAGATGTCATCACACGTTACTGAAAGATGTGACAACGTCAGATGTCATCACACATTACTGAAAGATGTGACAACGTCAGATGTCATCACACGTTACTGAAAGCTGTCACTTTTCTTTTAGACCCCTGACAACTATAGGCTGTAGGCGGGCTCCAAACAGGCAGTCAGCGGTGCGGCGTTGTAATTGGCTAGTCCACTGATGAGTGAGATGGGGCAGATGGTAGGCCTAGAAAGAGAGAGATTGTGCGGAGAGACGCGTTACGTGAACCACTCCAAAAGTGATGTAGATCTATATAATAGAACATGACTATAGCGCCACCGCTGCAGCAGGATCATTCCTAACGGGACCTTACCAGAATCCCCCTTTTTTTTTTCTATGCCAGCTCAATTACCTGTGCTTGAGTTTAACTGGCAATTAAAGGCCTGAACTTGGATACAACGGGAGAGATCGAGCGTGCTCTAGCTGTGGGGAAGGGGGTTGGAGGTGGGGGGCTGTAGGTGAGATCCAAACAGGGAGTCAGCAGTGCGGCGTTGTGATTGAACAGTCCAATGGTGAGTGAGGTGGGTCAGGCGGCAGAGAGAGATGGTGCGGAGAGATGCGTTACGTGAGCCACTCCAAAATTTAAACTGATGCGCCATAGCCAAGACGCTCAGTACCTTATAAGAGCGTATAGGCCATAGCCTTAGGCCTAGGCTAGGCCAAAAAGTAAAAGAAAAGGAGAGCGTTTAGTATGTGATTCCTGATTCATAGAATTGCGATCGTCGATGCTCAGGCATACACACGCATCCTCTTCACCAGTTCTACAGTAGGCCTACCAGTATGATAGACAACACAAGCAACAAACCGAGGAAAAGATGGCTTCTAACAAAGACTAAAGGAAATGCTTCTCACTCGAATTAAATGCCGAGGTAATCAACGAAGTTGACAAGAAAAGGAAGACTAATCTAAAGCGCACATTTTATTGATATGGAAGGGTAATCATGTTGATTTTTAGAAACTTTTCGGTCATTCCTATAGCGGGGACTCGCCTACAGCGGGATTTTTTCTCTGGAACCTTAAGTCCCACTATATCCATGTTCTACTGTATATATATTCTTGAATTTCAGCACCCTTGTCTGTTTAGAAAACTGCAGCACCCAGCATAAATCATTGTATTACTTTTGACTTAATACCTTTTTCATTTTTAGGTTATGAATTATGAGATAGACTCTCTGCTGTGCTTTTTATGGATCTTATTCTGCTCTCTATATTTCATAACACTGATTTAAATTCTATTTCAGGGGATTTGAAATGCTTGCAACAGTACATAAAACAGATGGGAAAGAGACCAAGTGGCATTTTGCTGTAAAAAAATTGCCCTCAGAAATAGTGATAAATAGATCATCATTTAAGGTAAGCTCAATTTGTATTATATCGTTATTATCAATCATATCCGTCCCCTCCCTCTGACTATTTGAGAATGAAAGGCTAGTCTTGACTCAGATGTACCCAATGAATTGCACTCTGGTTTGTGGAAACTGACGTTGCCCTATGCTAAGCCCTACACTGTGACACAACTTGTTGCTCACATTGCTATAACAAACAGTCAGATTCAACAAAATCGAAAGTCAGGCCCCTCGACTTTATCCAAGTCTCACAATAGGCCTATAAGGTTGAGTCTTTTTGAACTTCTGCAAAAATGACAAACTGCATTAGTAAATCATAGATAACATAAGTGGGAACTGAGTAATGAGTTATACCATCAAAATTCATTTTAATTTTACTGTCTTCTTGTTACAACAGTTTATCCACCCAATATTTTTCCTCTGCCTTGTACGTAAACTTTAAAGAGTGTACATTATATTGGGTTTCAGCTAAAAAAGTTTTACTATTTAGCTGACTAGGGAGGGGACCACGTGCGCAGGTTTATCTTTTTTTATCCACAGGATACGAATTTATGTACGACCAACCGGGCTATAGCACCAGATTTTTGGGGGATCCCTTAATAGCAATAAAATAAAGTTCGTCCTTTAACTTTCATGAGAATGTTGCTTGTTTCTGGGGATTTTTGTGTAACATTTGTGCTCATTTCATATTAATTTCAGGTAGACAAAGGCCTGGTGATTGTGAATCTTTACAAGAAAGATGAACTATCATGGGCCCCTATGTTGCGGCGAGGTATCGAACAAGCAGATAGTGATAGCAGCGATGAAGAAGCTGACAAACAAGAGAAGACAGAGTAATGCTTTTGTCCACTATTTCATAGCTTATGAGTCTCTTGAAATGCTATATCAGCTGAAAAATGGAGGAGAAACTCCTCATAATAGTATAATTGTTCTCAGTGCCCATTTGTACTTAGTAGAATGAAACCTAATACTTTTTTGTGTGTATTGGAGGTCTAGTTTATACAATGAAACTCGTATTCTACGAAGTCTTCAGGTTGGACCTGCAATTTTGTTAAGACTGAGGTTTCAATGAAGGAAAAGTGCAACTAATGAGAGCTTTTTGTGTTGATAACGACAGGGACATTTGTTCTGAATGTGTCACGGTCCTAAATAAGGGTAAGAAACCAGTGGTGTCCCAAAATGCTCACATATGTAAACTGTTACTTTTTTGTTGTTGTTTTTATTTTCATCTGAACTGCCCAAGAAGTGCTTTATCAACATCTCAAAGTACAAGTGTTTATTATCTCTTTAGTTTTCATGCTTCTCGATCCTCGACTGCTCTTGTCTTACATTGTCTTTCGAAAAGTGTTGATAGGGAGCCTGGCATGGTATATTGCCATGTCGCAAAAAAAATCTGCTGTTTTTTTCCCTTTTTAGCTTCCTCAATCTGCTGCAGTTTAATTTCAAAGGAGAGATGTTTTCTTGTCTCTGTTGCGATACTAAAAGTGTCTTAGATTAGGAAAGCTGAAGTGGTACCATAGTGCTACAGTATACAATTTACAAAGGACTACCAAAGTGCACAGTGTAAAAGCACACACAACTAAAATGGCACGCCTATGCCAAATGAAGGATTGTTTGACGAATAATTTGCATAGTACCCTGCAGGGCCTACTGGTAGGGCCAGTTTTGATTAGGCCTACCAGATGTTAAGTTCATAAGTGCGTGCAACTCATAACATGGATCTAGAAGTAGCTGTGAAGAAAATTATTGTCACCATGTCGCCACTACCTCTCTTAACTCTCTATTGACAATCTGTTCTGAGCACAAGTAGACCCCCCTTCCCACAAACACACACACATACACACACACCAACGCACACTCACATTCACCCTGACCACTCGTACACAGTACATGAGCTGGCCGCCCATCTGACCTCACCTTACCCTAATGTCTTTTGCTTGTGTCCACAACTCATTTTGGTGTAAAAAAAGGCCTCTGATATGTCTCATTTATAAGATGACTGTGTGTACCTGTTAAATCAATCGTAGTGCATAGTAAACAATACGCAATTAGTGTGAAATGATCCTCGATGCAGGGTGATAATTCTTTTGAATAGAGTAGGCTTAGTTCATATTTGGAGTAAAATGCATGAAGCCATGTCAGCAGTGGCTGTTTGCTCTGCAAGCATCTTTGCTGAATCTGAGTTCGCTCATTCATACATGGTGTTCTGTGGACTTGGGTTAAATTTGAAGCTCTGAAACTCAAAAAGACAGTATATTCTATCTGACATGTTGGTCTCAGGTTTTTTTCTCATCATCTTTTTCATTTGAACTTTTGCACATTTATTGTGATTCTCTAAAAATTTTCCTGTATATAAGTGGACCAAATGAATCCAACCTGATACCAGTTGCACAATTAGCTTTTGTCACCTTGACCTTCTCTGTTTGACTGTTCTGTAAGATCTCAGCAGAAACATTGGACCCACTCCATGACCAAGGATAAGTGATTAGACAAGTAGGTCTGACTGAGTCAACTATACTGTCAAAGTCAAAGGAGAGACCTCATTGTAAATGGGAGGGGTTGGCTGGTGCAGCACTATGTGTTTAAACTAAACTGTCCAAATTCCCATAACCCATAGAAGCAATTTAAGGACAACAAATTGTGGAGCAAAACAAGATTTTAAAAAAGGAGGATGGATGGGTCTCATTGTGACCACCATGCCATTCAAGGTGACAATTTACATTTCACCTGACCTGACGATCGTAATGATAGTTCTCAACTATAATGTGACTTACCTGCCAATTTCTTTGAAAAATAGTATTCTTACAGTTATTTTTTATAGTGGTTGTGACACAGTTCTTTTTGATGGGTCATCTGAAAGAAAGGCTGAGGTCAATAAAAAAGCCCAGAAAAAAGTATAATTTTTCTTAATAGGGTATTTTACTTTCCCCCGCAAAGTATTTGGTCATGATGTTAACTTCTTAGTCTTAGGATAAAATAATACGTTCTATTTTTATTTCAGTATTTAAATGATCTTTTTTATTATATTTCCCATGCTCGAAGCAAAGTATCATTGTTATCTTTTAACGTGCTGAACTTTGCCCTTCAGTCAGCAACATTGTATCAGGCATAAACACTGACTAACAATCTGAAGGTGTGCAATTTATGCTAAGCAGGGTCTGCCTTGCGTTCACTGATACAGTTTGTACTAGATCTGAATTCTGAGATTTTTTCCATTTTATTTCTTTGAGCATATCTCAGTTGCCACCATTTTTTAAAAACTTTATGCACTTATGCACACACAATGCCAGAATTTATATTGACATCAATTTTTTTATCTTGTACTACGCCTCTTTGATTTCAGTTGAGAATTCTTTTAACTTTGTTTTATGCCTATCTCGAGTATTCATTCAGATTGGTAATAGAATTTAATTTAATAAACTTTGAAACTACCTGCTGCGTTCTTTGTTGTGCAATCTTTGCTCATGTAATGAGGTGGAACATTGCTCTCTGGAACCCCTTTATTGAATACAATCTAGTAAGCTCATAGCGAAATATGGGGACATGGAAATCTTTTCTTTACTTTGGAAGAATATAAAATATAATATTATATATTTATAAGCAAATTCTACGTCCTTGTTCACAGCATGCTAGACTGTTTACTGATTGTTCTATTCTAGACCAGTTAGGAGACCATACTTTCTTTAGGTAAAGATTTACTCTAGACCAGTGTCTGTGGTGTTGCAGTTAGAGCTGTTTTGCCATCCCGAGCAGAAGACCTAAGCTTGATTCCTGTGTTCGGAGGTTTTTATAATCGAGTATCGCCATCGATCTGCTGGGATGTTAAGTCCTTCTCAGCCCAGGTGGGCCCTGACGGGCAGGGATGAATTCGAGTCACCTGTCTCCTAAATTATTAGAATTTTGTCGATTTGGTCAATGTCTTCCATTACAATTACAGATACTCTTTCCGATTTATGTTTGGTAATTTCATGTGAAAAGAGTTGTCGGAATCTCTGACCCACCTCAATAATTCAGGCTCCTCAGCAGAGTTTTAAAAATTTGTTTACAAATACGTACTTTGCATAGTCGCATAGGCATACATTAGGCCTGGCCTTTGTATCAGTAGCATAACGTCGGCCTGGTGATAAAACCGTCTAACCCACAAAATATCAAAAAACTTTTTATTGGCCCTATCGATAGTAAATTGTCCATTTCATATGCTCACTCAAAGACAGATCTGAATTTTGTCTAGAAATGTCTTTAAAACATTAGAAATAAAACCGTATAACCCGGCACCCATCGGATTTTGGCCCGATAATTCCGACTATCCCACCTTCGAGGGACGGAATGAGGGTTGGCTGTTTTTATCGCGCTAACAATGAGGGGCCACTTGCTACGTTACCGACTAACCCCGGCTTTGACTCCTCTCCGGACTTCGTTTGAAATCAGATTCAGACCTGTAAAAGTCCAGAATTTGCTCACATAACCGTGGGAGCTCTCCAAAAATGAATATTTGTGTAATATTTCTTGTTGGTTTCATTGGGGAGTTATATAGATCTGGTTGTTTCCTCTTTTTTATTCGTTTAAATGCTGCTGATAATGTTATTAAAACTCCCCACTGCTCCCACAGAACTGTTTATCTCGTGACAATTCCGGTATTTGAAATGCATCTTTATGGATTTTGTTTTATATGAAACTGTTTTCTGTCCGCGTGTTTTTCTTTGTCTTTGTACTCGAAATTCACCGATTGTGAAGGCATTTTCCCCTATTCGGACTACTTATAACTGTCTCTTCTCCTAATCATTTTTCCTTCACAATTGAATGGATGAAGTAGATAGCATTTCCTCCTTTACTAACTCACTCAAAAAAAAAATAATTGTGGGACCTGTCCAGCACACCGTCTGCCCCCCAACGATCGTTGTTTTTTAAAGCGCTTTTTCTTTTTTTTTCTTTTTTCATTTGCTGTGTTTATTGCAGTCCTTACCTTCTGAAACATCGTTCCACTTTCTTTGAAAGTTCATTTCGTTTGTGTTTTGAGTAGATTATTTTCTCAGTGTCATAACCTAATGCTTTATCTTTATATCAAACCTTAGCTTACATAACGCTATAACATTCAATAAGATGATGCCACTCTTGCTGCGACACCTCTTACCCTCAGCGCAGTGGAAAGTGATCAACGTGACCAGGCTAATGTCACATCAGCTGATAATACAACAGTTATGTTACCTTTGATCTCTGCGAAAAGGACACGGCATGAAAACGATTGGAAGGGTAACAAAAGGAAGAGGTTGAAAGAACTGGGGATGCCTCTACACATGTCAAGGCACTAAGCGAGCAGAATGTGAACTTGACGTCCTTTGCAGTTGTAAACTGGTTTGTACAAAATGCAATGACATCGCTGGTCACTCTCTTTGAAAGAAAAGAGAGCCTACGTATATTCCACGATAAACACGATAGACAAAAAGAGATCTTACACAGCAAGGGAAAACCCAAGAAGAAATTACAGCCTTCAATACCACTTACAAGAGTCAATGGTCAAAGAACACCTGTTTGTAAAACAATCTTCAAGAACACCACAGGCCTGACCCATTGGTTTATTTAAAGTGTCTTCTCCGAAAAAACAAACAAACAAGAGGTCCACCTCCCTAGAACACATCATGCCCACCATGAGAGAGCCAAGGATGACAAGTTGTTCCATAAAGAGGAATTTTTTGACAAACTTTCGAAGATATCCTCCTGTCTACAGATGACAATCTAGAAAACGTCAGATCTGCATCAAGTATACATGGAGAACTTTGCAGAGAGGGTGAGAGCCACATTGAGCTATCAAGTGTTCTGCCAAATGTTCAAGAAAAACAATTTGGGTTTACTTTCAACCAAGAAAGACCAGTGCGACATTTGTACAAAGTTCAAATCTGGAAACCTCACAGGAACAGAACACACACTTCAAATATGAATATGAGGAAAGCTGCAGCTAGACCAGAGAAGGAGACGGACAGGGAGGCTGTGTGGGTCCTTTGTATGGAGATCCAGTGCGTCCTTCTTGCCCCATCCCTAAAGAATTCCACCTTATATAAAACAAAACTGGCTGTACACAATGTTACGACTTAGGATCTTGCCACCAGAGACGCCAGATGATATGTCTGGTATGAAAGTGAAGTTGGTCTGGGCTTCAACAGTTTTCATCATGTCTGACTCACTAACTGATATTGCAAGTGACTGACTTCAACCACCTCATCATCTGCAGTGATTGGCGCAACTACTAAAACAGAAAGCCACCCTGGTGAGTGCAATGGCCTCGCTGGCAAAAGAGCTTATATCACAGTTAAGCAGAAATTCTCCCCAAGGGCCATACCCAAATGGAGGTGGACTCAGTCCATGGCACTATTGAGTGATCGCTAAAAAACGCACTTATGTACATCCCAATGGACTGCATGAACATCATGCTCAAAGCCAGACGCATCCCCAGGCCCTATGAAGTTATGTACCTGGACCACAGCTTTTTCAAAGATTTCGCAACGGTCGGAGAGCACTAAATAATCCGTCCAGGGAGAAAAGCAGGCGATCCTACTGTCACTGACTTGCAGGCATTAAAGTACACTCCAGTCTTTAAAATTCAGTAAAAGCTGAACTTTGATGATGGATGGCAGGCGCTGCAAGGACCAAGAAAGCTGAACACCATGTGTATGACGGTTACTGCTGGACCTCTCTGCAAAGACAGATTGAAGATAACTGCCAACCAGTATAAACATCTACAGGAGTTGAAGGCCGTCGTACCACGATGCTACCACAATTACCATGAAACTTTGCCTCAGTAAGAGTAAGAAGTTTTGAAAGAAATCAAGCCAAATTCGATTATTGTAGAGTCTTTCGAAACAATGGTAACTTTTGTCGTATTGCCTTGTTGTAGCCATAGGACACAGAGTGAGACAGACATGCTCTTCTGTCGTCGAGAAAACTCAATAAAGTAGTAGTTGTCAAGCCACGCACCTTGAAGAAAGTTGGTACTCACAAAGTCCTTTTGTATAATAATAATATATCATTATGTAATCAACTTCACCCAAACCATTGGTGAGGTAGCAGAGCTTTTGTGTGGCTTTCTGCTTTCATTTCTTTTTTAGTATTACTTTTTTCCAGGCCTTTGAATGGCCACCCAGTGCCAATAGTATCGTGTCAGACACGGTCATAAATTCTAAAGGCCTACTGCTGCTGCTGCTGCTGCTACTACTGTTGTTTTTTGTGGTTGTTGTAGTTGTTGCTGTAGCTGCTCTCCCTTACCCTTCCAACCTCCTGTTCTTCTACTTCAAATATAATTAATATACCCATTGCTGTGTTCTGCTTCTTCTACTTCTATTAAAGGTTCAACTTTGTGACTGCTGTTTTTGCCCGAATTGACTCCGTAGCACTGAAATGGCAGCAGCTGATAGTATGTTGGTAGCAATAATATAGTCCTCCTCCTCTTCCTTCTTCTTCTTCATACTCCTCCTCCTCCATCTTTTTTCTCCTTATCCTCCTCCTTCTCACCCTCTTCCTCCTCCTCCTCCTCCTCCTCCTCCTCCTCCTACTTCTTCTTCTTCTTCTTCTTCTTCTTCTTCTTCTTCTTCTTCTTCTTCTTCTACAAATGATCTTGACGATTGAAGCAAGTGATCAATTACGTTACCGTCAAGTGTGGCTTGGCTGCACTCAACCAAACTCAAGGCCAGCAGTGGCTTCCTGATAAAACCGGTCAACCCACAAAATTGAGGGTTGGTCGGTTTTATCCAAGAAAATCTGAGCGACATAACCGTCTAACCTACACAGTTTCATTAAAAGCAATTTTTAAAGGAAAAAAAGGTCTACAGATTTTCGGTAGAGTGTTTTTATAGGTGCTTAAAGCATTGATTTATCGTTAGACGCCTTTGTTTTGAAATAAAACAGTTTTTTCCTTCTCCTGTAAAATTTCCCTCGCTGGGGTTAGTCGGTTTTATCACAAGGCCGACGATAATATGAAATTCTTCTTCAAATGACTTTGCATTTTACTGAAAACAGAAGTCCTCTAGAATTTTGGTGTGGTACATCTAGTATATAGTCAGAAAAATATACAAAGATGGACATTAGTATCGCTAATTTGTCAGCTTACAGGTAGAAAGTTTGGTTTGAACTATCTAACATGGATAATTTATAATGGCGTATGGTTGAACCTGCTCTAACAACCACCTGTTCAAGACAATCACCTGTGCAAACGACAACTTAACGTTTTCCCCCTTCCATTTTTTCTGAATTCTAACGCTGTCCAAGAGGACCACCTGTCCAAGATGATCATTTTTTTTTCTTCAACAATTGTAGATAATATAATCTTGGACAGGTTCGAATATATCGAGTTGAATTGTGTAAGATGACCACCGTGAGGGAGCAAAACGGTTTTCTTTGTGGCCGTCTTGGACTTGGACAGTGCCATCAATATAGTATAAAAACGTG